AGTACATCATATTTGATTTGAAGGGCGCGGGGGTGGCGCTGTGGGTTAAACCACAGAGCCTAGGACTTGCCGATCAGAAGGTCGGCGGTTCGAATCCCTTTGACGGGGTGAGCTCCTGTTGCTCAGTCCCTGCTCCTGCCAACCTGGCAGTTCGAAAGCACGTCAAAGTGCAAGTAGATAAATAGGTACCAGTCCGGCGGGAAGGTAAACAGCGTTTCTGTGCGCTGCTCTGGTTCGCCAGAAGCGGCTTAGTCATGCTGGCCACGACCCGGAAGCTGTACGCCGGCTCCCTCGGCCAATAAAGCGAGATGAGCGCTGCAACCCCAGAGTTGGCCACGACTGGACCTAATGGTCAGGGGTCCCTTTACCTTACCGTTACATCATATGATTAGGGCTGCCTCACCTGCCAACTCAAATGCTACAAGCTGCAAATCTAAAGTGCTGGGAGCGGGAAGCGTCAGGAACACGCTGGTGCCGGGTGTGTTCGCCCAGGGCTGGCCAGCCAGTTCCCAGGGAAATCGCTACCTGTGCTAATGGAGCCCTTATCAGCTTGTTTCCACCCTCCTTAATTGCAGAGTTGTTCACTGCTGCTTCTAATGTGCGCTTGCTTAGCAGGATCTCTTTTTATGTATACTTTTCTGCTTTGCAGGATGAGCTTCCCAAGCTCTCACCCAGGGCGAATGCTGTATAGTCAAAGGCTTCATGGCCTGAGCTGCCCCACAGGTTCAAATCAAGAAATCAAGGGTCCTTCTCCCATTCCTGGGTTGGCCTCCAACATTTCTCAGGGATGCAGGGATGCAGGTGGCGCTGTGGGTTAAACCACAGAAGCCTAGGACTTGCCGATCAGAAGGGAGGCGGTTTCGAATCCCCGCGACGGGGTGAGCTCCCGTTGCTCGGTCCCAGCTCCTGCCAACCTAGCAGTTCGAAAAGCACGTCAAAGCGCAAGTAGACAAATAGGTACGCGCTCTGGCGGGAAGGTAAACGGCATTTCCGTACGCTGCTCTGGTTCGCCAGAAGCGGCTTAGTCATGCTGGCCACATGACCCGGAAGCTGATACACCGGCTCCCTCGGGCAACAAAGCAAGATGAGCGCCGCAACCCAGAGTCAGCCATGACTGGACCTATCAGTCAGGGGTCCCTTTACCTTTTAAGGAAAAGTCGGACCATTGGGGGATCAAATCAGAAACAGGGACAGCTTCTGTAAATCCAGGACCGTCCCTGGAAAATAGGGACACGGAGGATCTGGATCAGGCTCTTCGTGTGTTCTTAACCGTGTGCTCCTTCAGGAGGAAGGGCAGGATATAAATTTAATGAAGAAATAAACAAATCCCACCATACCAGTTCACTTCCCTGCTTTCTTCCTTTTCAGATCCTGCCTGGCCAATGGACATGGAGACACCTCTGGAGAAAGCCCTGGCGACGCTTGTGTACACCTTCCACAAATATTCAGGGAAAGAAGGGGATAAGTTTACTCTGAGCAAGGGAGAGCTGAAGAGCTGGTGAAGAAGGAAGCTGGCACTTGGAGAGGTCGGTGCCCCAGCGGATGGGTGAGGTGGGGGGGGTGGCCCCAAAACACAACGCAAGGTTGGGGGAACCAGCGTTCCACCCTCAAGATGTGCATCTTCCATCAGGACCACGGCTGAGTGGCAGAGCGTCTGCCTTGCATGCAGAAGGTCCCGGGTTCGAGTCCTGACATCTCCTGGTAGGACTGGGAAAGACTCCCAGTCTGAAACCCTGGAGAGCCACAGACAGTCAGTGGCGAGGGGCCTGATCCTGATACACATCCTTGGAGGGGACAAGGAGGTGCAACAAGTCAAAATGTGGGGCTTGCACATGGGACAAACAGTGGGGAGTTTGGAGTTTGGATAAGTCTTTCCTTCCTTTCCCCATCTTTCCCTTAATCACTTTATGCCTTAGTTTCCTTCCAGGTGACTGACTTTCCTTTAAAAAATATATATATTAAACTTTATTTAACATAATTATTACAAAATACAGGCAAAATACATACAAATACATACATAGATTTTTCAGATAAGCACACATAAATAAAAAAGAACAAAAAAAGAAAAAAGGAAGAAAAGAAAAAATAAGAAAAATTGGAAGAATTTCTTCCAAATTTATTCTACAAATATCTCAATAATAAAATTTCATTGACTGACTTCCATCACTTACACTGCACTTCCTATATACATTTTAAGCAGATTTGTATCTGTTATTCTGTATTTTTCCCATACAATCTCACACAAATATTCTAATCAGTAAGTTTTCTAAATCTTTCATAAATCTATTCTAAACACAATCAATACCTTACATCTCAGTCTTAAAGTGAACCCATTAAAATGAATGAGCATGATGTAATATATTTCAGTGAATGGCAATGGATCTAACTCGGAGTACAGCTTAGGCCCTATTCACACCATATATTTAAAGCACTATGATACCTCTTTAAACAGTCATGGCTTCCCCCAAAGCATTATGGGAGCTGCGGTGTGTTAAAGGTGCCAAGAGTTGTTAGGAAGTCTCAATTCCGCTAAAACCTCCAGGGTGGTTTAACAACCAGTCCTGCTTCCCAGGAACTCTGGGAACTGTAGTTCTGTAGCGGGAAATAGCCGGCGTCTCATAACAACTATCAGCACCCTTAACAAACTACAGCTCCCATAATACTTTGGGGAAAGTCATGACTATTTAAAGTATTAAAGGTAAAGGGACCCCTGAGCATTAGGTCCAGTCGTGACCAACTCTGGGGTTGCGGCGCTCATCTCGCTTTATTGGCCAAGGGAGCCGGCGTACAGCTTCTGGGTCATGTGGCCAGCATGACAGCCGCTTCTGACGAACCAGAGCAGCGCACATAAACGCCGTTTACCTTCCCGCCAGAGTGGTTCCTATTTATCTACTTGCACTTTGACATGCTTTCGAACTGCTAGGTTGGCAGGAGCAGAGACCGAGCAACGGGAGCTCACCCCGTCGCGGGGAATCGAACCGCCGACCTTCTGATCGGCAAGTCCTAGGCTCTGTGGTTTAACCCACAGTGCCACCCACATCCCATTTAAAGTATTGGAGAACTTTAAATGTATCACGTGAATACGGCCTCGGTTGGATGCAACCCTTAAGTTTTGAAAGAGAGTTAAATTTGTGAGGGGGGGTTCAGTGTCCCCCATAATCAGACATGTACCCCAATCTCTCCCCTCTCTCTTTCCTTTGCCCCCCTTTCCCTCGCAGAAGATGAAGGCAGGCGGAATTGACAAGCTGATGGGAACCCTGGACAAGAACAAGGATGATGAGATTGACTTCAAGGAGTACACGGGCTTCCTGACGGCCCTCTGCATGACCTACAACGATTTCTTCCAGCAGGATTCAAAATAAGGGAGAGGGTGGGGTAAATCTCCAGCAGTCGGTGCCCTGCATCACTCAGAGCCAATGTGGCAACTTTAAATAAAGGTCTCAACCTCCAGAAACTGGTTCAACCGTTTAGTCCCGAGGGTTGATTCTTTGTAGCCACATGGAACAGGGATCCTTTGGAGAAGGTGGGCAGGATCAGTCCGGAGGCTACAACCTGTGGCCCTCCAGATGTAGTTGGACTCAAAATCCCATCACCCCTGACCTGCTGCAAGACTGTCCCACATTTCTTTGGCAGTTTTCTTATTCCTTATGTATACTACTTGCTGGTCGCTGACAGCCAAATTAATTATCGCCCTGGCTTTCGCATCTCCTTTCAACCAAGCATTAGTCACAGGGTCATCGGTTACATAGGTCCAAACTTCCCGAGAGGTCAAAAGTGCCTCCACCCCAAACGGCCATAAACTGTAGTTCTCATCTGTCAGCTGTGGGAACATCAGAGCGTTCTCAGCTTCTGGAAGCCAGTCAACCATTCTAGAACTCTTCCAGAACCACACCAACAGGAGAAGGAGCTTTCAAACCTTTCTTAAAGTCCAAAAATGTGCAGTCATCCACTCAGCAGCTGGGCCCATAACCAAAGATGTTGGTTATTTTGCAGACTAGTTGTGCTGCAGAAAGCGTGCCTGGGGAGACCACACATT